ACGATGTGTTAGAAGACGCGTCGATGACGTCGCGCGTCGTGTAGACGCCCAGGACGGGATCGGCATCTTGGAGCTGCTCCTTCGTGCAGACGGTCCTCGCTGGGGTATGTTATGACAGAGACGGCCGAAGACGTGGGCGTTGACCATGAAATACCCGGTCTGCCCTGCGCTCTCTCACCCTGACCTCCGATGTCCCGTGCCGCCTCGGTCATGCAAGGCAGCGGGCGCCGCGGCGCCGTGGCGCCAATCGCGTCTTGTCTCCGCCCACCACGTTCGCCGTGACTACCGGTACTGAGCCGTCCTGGGAACCGCCCAGACACTGCGCAGGAGCATGAAGGCGATACGAGGTGCGTCCCAGGGCCGGTCTCCCCGCGGTGCCGCTTACCGCTTCTCACCATCCAGGCGTGCTTCTCACCTGGTTTGTGCGATCGTCCGGCGCGCATATCACAACTCAAACCGTCTATCTGTGCCAGTGATTCGGCCGTGAAGCAGATTCTGCTCACGCTGAATGAGAAGGAGAACTTCATCATCGAGGATCTGGATGACTTTCATGTCGTGATCAAGGCCGATGAGGAGTATCGTGTGAGACGCGAGCTCGAGGCGGAGGTACGTCCGATTTGTGCATCTAACTCCTGCGATGGGCCTGATACCCTTTAAAGCTCGAAAAGAACACATACAGCCTTGAGTGACTGAGAAGCGACCGTATGTCCGATGTCCTGACGATGTTCTTGCGTTCTCCTCGGATGTGTCCGCGATGTACGTATCCCCGACCTACGCCCTCACTTAACGCCTATACAACATCAAATTTTCTCGAGAACCGGTGCCACATCCGCCCACTCATGCGCCGCCTTTTTCAACCTGTCCGCCCGTGCCTTCATGTCCAACAAACGCTGCCTCAGAATAGCCACAGCTCGAGCATCCCGGACCCGGTCAAGCCTCAACTCGTCCACCAGACACAACACGCAGGGACTCGTGGTGTTGTCAGTCTGAGCAAACAACACATGAAGTGTCTGCGGCATCCTGAATCGTACCGGCTTGTCTTAGCCTTGATGGTGCCAATAGAGATAAATCATGTAGGCGGCCTAGGTGACTAGAAAGGGATGGTAAGTCAAATGTCTTTTCGATGCTGTTGCGCTCCCTCCGGACTCGGAGTCCGCGATGTACGTATCTCCGGTCTACACCCTCACTTCGTAAGATGCTGTTGTCTGGCGGCGCTGAACGAGCGACTGCGACCAAGCCGGCGCACATGGACGGTACTCTCATAGTGACCACGAAGACGCTGAACACTGAAATGTACGTCAGATGGGGAAAGAAGCTATCGGTACTGGCGCTCGCGCCGTCACGTACTATGTACTGCGAGCTGCCTCAGTGCCTCTCCACTCTGTGCCGTGTACGATCACACCAGTGGGTACGAACTTGAATCCATCGCTTGGCTTCACAGCATATACAGACCGACGGACGCCTCTCGAGCTTGATATGGGTATCACTGCTAGCATACACGCGCGATCTGGGCATAAGTCAAATATATCCACCTCGGGGGATCGAGCGACGGGGCTTCAGGCGGACGAGGGAAGGGAGGAGGGAGGGTGCACGGGAGGGCGGGTGGTAGAGAGTTCTGTTCTGTAGGGAGGAGGGAAGACCGGGCGGGAGTGATGCAAACGAGCGACAGCGGGTTTAGGAAGAAGGGTATAAGGTATGCGGAACGCGGCGGAAACTGGGATAAGAGCAATAATGATGCAAAGGAAGAATAGGACACGAGAAGTGGGAAGAAAGTCAAGATATGCCAGCGTACCCTCGAGTCTACAACGCCAACGCCAACGCCGACACCACGCGGTCCACAGCCAGGGGAGAACATATATCGTCGTAATGCAACGCAACATCAACATCCAAGTAGGGGAAAGGGTCCGGGTCCGGTCACAGCCTGTGTCCGGGGACGGCCCAGAAGATCATCGTGAGCGCGACGGAGCACGCGGCGACCAGGACGGAGACCCAGATCGCGCGCCCAAGCAGAAGCTTCTTGACATAGGGCTCGCGGATGCCGAGTGTACGGAACGGCGTTGACTCGGACTGGCCGAGGAACACCAGCACGGGGTCGAGCTCGTACTGGTGCGAGATGAGGAAGAGAATGGCGAGAGTATAACGCTGTGGCAACGATGAGCGGCGGGGAATCGTGGTGTAGGTAGTGTACATACCGCTGTTCGGCTGCTGAATATATCTTGTGTGCCCGACGAGGACGGCGGGTGCCTGATCTGGGACGCAGATCCGTCGACGAAGAGAGAAAGAAACGAGGCCTTAGGGTGTTTTTGGGTGGATAGGCCGGGTGGTAGGCGGGTAGATAAACTGTAAGGTTTTTTTGGGTGGATAGTGTGGGGGATTGACTGGACGGTTGCGCGGGTACGTCGATGAAGAGGGCATTCGTAAAGTTGGGCAATGGGGCTCAATTTCATTCGTGAACAGGCCGTACTTGTACATGGACGTAGCTATCCGAACCGGGTACTCGAACGCTGCATTCGCCCGTCTCGCGCCTCCCGATGGGCAAGAGGAATTGGCGGCATCGCGCGCCGCACCGCCCGCCCACATGCGTACACAACGACAGCCCTACTCGAGCGGGAAAGTCGCCCCGCGCACTCCTTCATCCGCCCCTCGCGCCCGTCGTAGAAACCTATTGTTACCCCCGTGCACGAGATGTTGGCAGCGCGCGCGGACGGGGCGGAAACGCGCTGAGCCCGCACGAGCGGCAGCGGTTACTGCGTCTGTCCCGTTGCAAACGGCTCACGCACTGACCTGTCCCGAGAACGGCTCCGCTCGCCGGGAAGACCGATTCGCCCGGAGAAAAGTGGTTTCCGGGACTCCTCGTGCCCTGCGAGATATTCGAGCGGTGTGGTCGATACACTGCCTTGGCCTGCACGAGGAACAGGGGGAGAGACATGGCGGTGTGCGTCGTGCCCGGGAGGAGGAAGCGGACGTCTGCGGTGACGCCGCGACGTTCGCGCGAGTACATGATTGGTGGGCGGAGCTGACGCGCGGGGTGTACTCCCGTGCACGCGACTTACAGGGCGAGCGCTGTGCGGAGTCCCGAGGATGGCGGCGCGCCCGGCAGCAGACGGTGCTCCCTCGAAGCAGGACGTCTGCGAGACAAACCGTGAACAGGGTCGCTCGCACGTGTGCTAACAAGACCGTACCTCCGAAATTACCGCCAGTGACGTCTTGTGGACGCCAGGTTCAGCTATGAGAATCGTCGCTGAGCTCCGGACGTACGTGACGCGTGGCAGAAGGCAATCGCGGGGTTGAACGCCCCAGGTGCGTAGGTGCCGGTGCGCAAGTCCCGATGCGTGAGATCGGTGATTCCGACCTTCCCCGTACTTTCTGCGGCGCCACGACGGGGTTAGATGGCTGCTGTGCGCGCAAGGCGGGTGGGATATACTCACTCACTCGATATTGAGGAATGTCGTATCCATCGGCGCAGATGAAGGCGTACGCCGCGGGAGGGGCGCAAATTGATCTTGCAGCGCCGGGGTGGAGACGCGCGTGCGCGTAGCTCCGCTCGCAGCTGCACTGGCACAGTGCACCTCGCTCAGCGAGTCGTCGGCCGAACACGTACGCAAAGTGCTTGACATCGACGAGTAGCGTACCAAATCGCGGAATCCCCGCCCCCTGCGGCCTGGCCCGGCAAAACGCGACAAACCGACGCGCCGGACCATCAGGACGCCAGTGAAGGGCATCCTGATGCCTCCCATGGACGAGGCGGCCACCCGCGGTGTCGAGTTTGTTGTTCGGCCAATTGTCGTCTTGTTCTGCATGGCCTCCGCGAAGAAACTAGACTGCCACAATCTCTTCCACAAGGGTGAGCCCGTAAGTAGCTATTCTACATACCAGCGCCGCACGCTCACCTGTTCTGGCGGGGAAAACAACTCGCTGCTCCCGAAGCAACCACTGCGAGCCCAGGAGACGTGGAAGGGGTGAGATGTACAGGAGGGCGCCAGATATCGTGCTGGGCGAGAGGGTCAAGGACTGAGAATAACGGAAGTAAGGGCGGGGGATAGAAAACGAGGGAGGACCAGGGCGAGGGAAGGGGAGATGAGGGGGGAGAGAACGAGAGGGAGAACGAGAGGAGAGTAGGGAGAACAGCGAGCCGCTCGAACCATTCTACACCATGCGCGTCCCCAGACGATGGTATTCGTCGTGGGTGCCGAAGTGGTGAGCGAGCGAGCGCTCCGTTCTCGCTCTGCATCAAATTGAAATTGTCTACGACCGCGGGCTTGCGCGTCAACCCTGATATGCAACAGGAAATGGACTACCTACATACCGATCGGCTGTGCCATCAGGAGCGGTCAGAGAGTGTCCTTGGGGCGGGGCTTTCCACCAATCACATAGTCCGCATTCCTGTGCAAACTCATGCTCCTGTGATATACTCGTCAGTGAGTAGCATCCCGCGGACGAGTCCCAGAGCCTGAAAGTCAATCAATACGCATGCGAAACGGCTGCAGGGGGTGACTGCCATACCGGTGAGACTCGAGTCGGGAGCGCGGGTATAACACTGGAACACAGGAATACTTCTGATACTGCCAAACTGGATTGCTATCGACAAAGCGAATACACGCCGTAAGACCAGGAATCGCACCGCCCAAGAGAAGAAGCCCGACAAGCGACGAGTGTCGTTCGGGACATGGCGGTTGGGAAGAGAGCACCGTCGAAGGCCAAACAAGCTCTGGCGCGCGGCGTTTGAGCTGCAGCCTACCCAAAGAGGCAAGTCGCGTGGATCGGAGCGCCGGTCCGCCAACTGTGGCAAATCCCAATCTCTCCCCGCTACCTCCACCACTCGCCCGAGGGCTGGGCCGCCAGCCAGGCCATTCAAGAAACAAAGTATCTTAGTTCACCTTCTGCTTACTTACAAACGACGCTAGACCCTGCCTAAACCGAACTGTCAAGAAACAAACTATGGGTACCGCTCAATTCCCCCACGCCCGAGCCCTTTGCGACCATCCCGAACGCGTCCATATCCACATCGGGCCTCTGCGTGCGGACGAACGACGTGAGTGGACGAGTGTTGAGGTACGTTGGTGCGATCCACGTTGAGTCCGGCATGGACTGTGGCAGTGAACCGAAGACCGCGCAGTGCCACTCGCGCGCAGGCGGCGAGAGAGTTGGCGCCAGCGCGCGATTGCGCTCCGTGGCCGATTCGAAGACGAGTGGATCGCTCTTGATGCCCTCCTTGGGGAGCATACGAGGGCGATTGTAACGGCTATCGAACTTCCGGTTGCGCGGCTTCTTCGTGTCGATGCGTTGACCGCGTCTCGATGGGACACTGCGAACGCGTGCGGCAGTGTCGGATGGCGGCGTCGAAGTCATGGAGTCGTCGTCGACGGGGCTCAAGTCCTCTGGATGGAGTGTGCAGAAGGAGGGGGCGAGGTCGTGCGAGCCAGCGTACTGCGGCTGAGCTGTGATCGCCTCCGGAGGTTCGTAGTTCGGGTGGACGGTCTTCGGGTCGCGCTTCGCGTTCGCGATGTCTTCAGGCGTCGCGCGCTCGAAACGGATCTTGCCACCGTTCACGAGCGCGAGCAGCTCCTGCACCTTGCGGGTCCCGCCCGGAATATTGCCGATGCTCGTAAAGAGGGTGCGGGTCGGCCAGCCTACGAGCTTTTGCCCGCGCCCGATCACGATGTCGTTTGCATAGGGCTTGATGGCGTAGCGTAGCTTCGCGCTCCGGTTTCTGGTGCGCACTCCTGCCCATTCTCATCAGCTGTGATACGACCAGGAACAGGGCACGAACGCACTCACGGAGATTCTCCGTCAACTTCTCGCGGAGCTCGAGCTCGAGCTCGAGCGGTGTCCCACTGGATACGGGCTGGACGCTTGCGGGATGGGGCTCTTCTGGGGCACGAGCAGCGACGACCAACGGGTGGGAAGACATTGCAGACGATGTGTGAGTTTGGGCGGGGACCGACACCATCGCTGGACCTCTGCGAGCGATTATATGGACACGCAGGTGAGTCTTTCACCTTAGGCGATGGTAACGTCCCGAAAAGACTTATTCGGAGACGCTCAGGGTCCCATCCTAGGCCGCCCGCGTTCCCGGCGGCAGCGACTGTCTGGATGTTCTGGCACACACCCGCAGCCATCTGCAAGGCCCTCGCGGATGGGCAATCGCCGGCGACGTTCTACGATGTATCTCTGCTACCTGGATCGCAACATTCGCAGTTTCACCCGCATTCGATGTCGTACGGACGCGGTCAGCGACTCCCCTCCCCATTCGCCTCGTCTCGCCTCGTGCTGGCGGCTACCCGAGGACGTTTCGCTTCCGGGGTCGCCGCGCTGCGATTTTCCTCGCATCATTACACCGCACCCAGTATGGTATACGGCTTCCTCTCCTTCCTCGCCCTCTTCGCTTGAATTCACCCGTTCTGTGCTCATCAGGCCTGACTGCCCTCCCACTGCGGCTCGTCGCCGCCCGTGCTCAAAAGCGCTTTCCACAAAAGGTTCGTCGCGTCTTTGTCCGAACCAACCGCCGCCGACCTTCGCTGGCCTCTGCGGACGCGCCATTTACATATGTAATTGGACGTGCTCTGCCGGGGCTCGCGGTAATCTGAGCCGAGGATCGTTGACATGGTCCCCGCGCGGAGTCAAATGCTGGGACCGCGGGGAGACATCGCAATTGCCGAGAAAAGCATCTACTTCTCACACCGACGCCGGGGAACACGCCCTCTCCGCTGTGTCTTGCACGAGCAACGAGATGTGCACAATGCAGGTAAGTAGTCGCTCTCTCCGCCGGTCCGCCACTGATACACTCTGAATAGATTGTACACGACGCGGCGAGGACCGGGGCGTATGCCCTCCGCTAATAATTGACTCGCCTCAGAGGCAGCACGACGGGGGATAAGCCCGACTGCGAACGCGAACAAGGCGCGGCCCCCGGAATGTAGCGGACAGGTCGAAGGGCTTGGTGAGGCGCGCTGTGCCCTAACAGGCAAGGGTGTTGAAGCTAATCCATGCTCGAGCAAGCCGACGTTGATATAGCAGCGTCATGCCGTCGGGGATCGCGCCGGCGTCGATCTATCTCGGGCGTGCGCCCCGTCTAGTCGGGGCCGTGCTCGTCGGCGAGGCACGCTGCTCGGCCGCCCTGGCAGGCGTTCCAACGGCGCATCAGTGCGCCTTCCTTTTCGCGAAGTCGTCGATGGCTCCGTGGATCTGAGGCCCCCGCGCACCCCAGTACCAGCACCATGGACGTGGGCCACCTCCGGCGCGAACGCACGGCGTCTCTACCTTGAGCACACCGGGTGGAGGCGAACTGGCGATTCGCCGGGGACAGCTTGGCGGGCGGGATCCCGAGGAGGTAAAAAGGTTACTTGTTCGCGGCACCGAGGTTCTTGCTCATGACGCTCACGACAGGTTCTGCGCCCTTCTAGTTGTAGGTCCACACTTACGCGAACCCATTCGCCCGTCTTGCGTGTGCGCTGTTTGCCGTGCAGTGTTATCGGGCGCGGTCTCCTTTGTACGCTCGCCGCGCAGCTGCATGTCGCTGTGCTGGGTACCCCGGGGCAACCGAAGCGTCCGAAATAGATGGCGTCGGGGTCCTTGTACGTACGTACGCGCGTTGGCCTAGCTGATGTGACATTCCTGTCGCGCAAATTTCGAGCTTCGCGGAGACGTCAGCGCGTCCTTCGCGTCCGAATGGCAACGCTGGTGTGTCTCTTTCCGCCTACGGCAGTGAACTCTCGTTAGTGTCTCCTAACTGGCGTCGCCATTGTCCGTTACAGACCTCACGCAACGTAAGCCTCGCCGAGCAGGATCCGGTGCCCATTCGTGCGTCCGCGAGCGAGCGAACACGATGGCCGCGCGGAGTGGTGCGATACGTGTGCGTGGGGTTCGTGCCCGTGCACGATCATTCCGTGGGCGTAGTGCTCCACTTGCAAGGGTGTAAACACGAGGCTGGAAATGCAGAACGCACTGCTCGTAGGGTCCACCGTAGCTGGGGATGCAAAATATATTTCTGTATGGATATGGACATGACATGCGAATCCCGAGCCTCCGTTCCTGCGCGTTCGGTTCGTGTCCTGCGTCCTCGTCCATCTCCGCCGTTGTCCCGCGCTCCGTCGTGCGTCCGTTCGGGTCTGCTCACCGCCTCGAGCTCTCGACGCCGCGATGGACCGTCGATTTACGACTACGACTCGGAGAACAGCGCGAGCCCCGCGAACAGTTTCCTCCTCCGCGCAAGACGACGCACATCGTCGAGGGCTGCTGCATGGCCCGAGTCGGTCAGCTCCTCGGCGTACGCCTGTTCGAGAACCGGACGGGGATGCGCGCGGCCTCCGGGACGCGACGCGTCGAGACGCAACAACACGACGTCTTCCATCCGAGCGCGCCGTCCGTGCGAGGGCAGCGGGCACGGCGGAGCACGGCGCGAGTACGTGTGAGGGCGCGCGGAAGCGAGCAGCCCCAGGCGCGAGAGCGCATGCCCGTGCGCGGGCGCGATCGTGGCCCGCGTGCATGTGGGTGCGCCCTGCCGCCCTTGATAGGTGTGCTCCTCGCTGGGGAGGGGCGCCATCCCTCTGTCCCGCCTCGTACGCTCCCCTCTCGACGCCCCACTCGCCCTGCCCTCCGATCACCCAGACCGCGTCTCCAGCTCCCCCGCCGCGGTGCATGTGCACCGAGCGCAGTGCGCGCCGCTCGATAGAACAGGACCGGTGAGCGTGTGCACTCGCCTAGGTGTCCTCTGCACTCACCGTCCTCGCATGTCCGCAGGCACGGCGCCCACCTCCGCCACCTGCCCCGCCGCCGTCATACTCGTTGACAGTGCTAGCCTAGCGGACGATGAGCTAGTCGTGCAACAGGTATCGCACTGAGCCCGCCCTGCACTCACCGTGATCCCGCGCGGCCCGCCCGTCCTCCGCTCACCCACTCGCATCGCGTGCGTCTGCGCGCCGCGCGGAGTGTGCGTCCGCAGGCAAATACAGCGCGTGAACGCACCCATCCGGTCTGGCATCTCCCGCACTCGCCGTCCTCGCCCATTGACAGGCCCGACACCCGCCTGCGTCGCCTCCGCCCCGCGTCCCCGTCGTTCCCATCGAACGTGTCCCGCAGGCAGAGACGTCAGCGTGGTAGCCTGTCCAAGGTACGGCAGCGTGTCTTTTGTATGCTGCGCGCGCAGTCCACTCACCCCTTCGCTCCAGCCTCGACACACACCGCCCGGCCGCGAGGAGCGTGCGCGGGAGAGAGGCGCCGTCGAGGGCGGGAGGGGTAGGGGTACGAGGGCGTAGACTACAGACATGTACTTGTCCGGAGAGGCAGCCTCGCAGGAGCGCGGACGCGCCCCAGTCGGGACACGCCGCCTTCGCGGAGCCCGCGACGACGCGTGCGGCCGACCGACGCGCAGAGAGCCGAGCGCGCCAGGCTCGTACCACGCGCCGCGACCGTGACCAGCAGGCGAAAAGACGCACCTGCGCTTCGCGATGTCGCCACACCGCCGGCGAGGCCGCCCGCGTCGACACTGTTAGTGCGGGCCGAGCCTCCAGCGTGCGCCGCGAGTCGTGGGCGTACCGTCGAGCACGCGCCTGTGTTCGT